ATATATATATATATATATATATATATATATATATATATATATATATATATATAATACACATATATATATTATACACACACATACATACACACACATATACATCCAAATATATATATACATCAAACACATATATACATACACATATACGCATACTTACACATATACACACATGTTGATAAACACACATTCAAATGCACAAATTTTACATGTTAGGGAGTATTTAGCATATATCTACATTTTATATTCTATATAAATAAAAATGTAACTGTTCATTTGTCACTTACCTTAAATCTCCAAAGTTTTTCACCGATTGGTTTGGAATTTTAACACAATGTTGGATCTGAATGCGTGCGCGTTTTTACATACTTTTTATATGGATGTCACACCTGTAACAGGCGAAAACATCCATTTTTTTGAGTATGGGAGAGAAGCTTTGGTAAACTCCGCAAAGTCCTCATGGAGGTTAGCTGGCGCTTCATATAGTCTATGTTGCAGATGTTCGAAAACACCGAGATTTCTCCGTGTTTTAATTTTTAAAATTTTAAATTTTCTCCTATTGTACGTTGACATCCTTCTCATCGCTTTGATTTTGGTTAGAGAATTGCATCATCCTATCTGCTGCATATTTTATAAAGAATTTTCATAAATCCCGATTTATTTTCATTTTAATTTAATTATTTCGTGTGATATTGCATCAAAACTGAACTGTGTCACTTACCATAGCGTTCATTGCATGAGTGTAGTTTATTTTTTCCTTTTCCCATTATTTTTCATTTCGTTTTTTAACTGTTTCCCTTATTTTTCAGTGCAGTTGACGGTAGAGTTGAGCTGTACCTTGATCTGTATTTGAACTGAAATATTTCGTCAGTATTTTTCACTTTCCGTTTTTTCTTTGTTTTTTAGTTCGTGTTCTTTCCTTTTTTAATGTTTTGCAATTTCTTATGTTTTTGTTATAACTTTCTTCCTTCTTTTCCAGTCGATCTGCTTCATTTCATCAAAATAATGCCTCAAAGAAGATTAAACTTAGGTCGTCGTACTTGTAGAACGGAAGCAGTGTGACGAGTAATTGCAAATCAAACTGCGGGAAAATGTGCATCAGCAAACGAGCGAAGGAGACAAGGAATGGCCCAAATACGTGCCGAGGAAATTAAATACCCGCTGGAGAATACGTACGATGATTCAGTACTCCAACTATGAACAAAATGACAATTATTATAGTCGGAGATCAATTTCAACCTAGAGATATTGTTCTTCATCGAAGAAACTGCCGTAGTTTGTTTTTGTTGTGGTTAGTCAACTATCAGGAACAAGCAGGAACTTTAAGGGGTTGGCCTGTAGTAAAGTTATTTGGCTTCGGTTATATTTGTGTTGTAGTTGCACCAGATATTGATGCGCAGTGAAGGGTTTGAAAGGTTTCGTTGTGAGCTATAAGTATACAAGAAATTTTAACGAAGGCTTACCTTGTTACGGTGGGAGCTCGTAAGAATGTCAGTTATGCCACGAAAATGACCTAGCAGAAAGGATTAACTTTTATTAATATTATAAAAGTGATGAATAAGACCAATTGAACAAACAGCAGAAAGGAAAAGAATATCGGTGTGGAGAGCAGTACTAGAGAAGGGATATAACCGTCTTGTTGATACAGGAGCAAAGGACCTTAATCCTTACAATGAGCTGCATATATGTTTTAATGAAGTGGGAGTGGTTTACATAAAACGTTAAAAAAGGGTGTTCTTTTAGATAGGAAACTGTAAAGATCCAATTACAGAATAAGCATTGTAACAAGATCAGATGGGAAGATTAACATGTAAATTGGACATCCTTTGTCATTAAAGATGTGAATTTCCGTTAGACAAAGATAAAAACGTATGGGAAATAATTTTAAAGAATGTAAATTGGTTAAATGATTCACACTATTAACATTATTTACAATTTGAATAAGGAATTTATTTTTATTTGGAATTTCGCGATGTTGAAATTCGCGACAGAAACGATCAATTGACAAAAGTTGCAGAATGCTACAGTGCTCTGCAATATCCAGTCATTTTTGGGATGGTGCAAATGGATATCATTTCAACATCAAGATCCAGTCAGTGGCGAACAAATACGAAGTGCAGCACAGTGAACATTATTCATATCGATTAATGATTCGAGAAAATGAAGATAATTACATTTTGAAAACGCCAATTGTTCCATCAAATTCACATGTATGGATAGATGGAAAATGCTCCAAGCATTTAAAAGAGAAATGCTTTAAGCATTTTTCATCTATCCATGCATAGTGAATTTCCGTCTATCCATTTTCCGTGTAAGAGCACTTTCCGTCTATCCGTGCGAATCTTTGAACATTTGTATCCAACACAATTACAGGAAACGATGGATATCCTTTATACAGAAGATCTGCAGAAGGCAGTAAATTAGCAACCATACAAATGTAAAACGGTAACATCGAAGTAGATAACTGGTGGGTTGTTCATATTCGCCTTTGCTTATCAAAAACAAAATCTGACAGAAACATGGAATAAGTAGCGATATGACAGTTCTTGGTTTGCAACTAGGAGGAAGTGATAAGAATGCAATCATACATATCTATGAAATCGCACAGTATTAGGCTGGAAGATACATAAGCAGCAATGAAGCTGTATGGCGAATTATTTCATTTCCCATACATGAACAAAGTCCAGCTGTTGTTCACTCAGCAATACATCTAGAAAATGGACAACGCGTTTATCACAGCTCCAAATATGCAACAAACATCCCTGTATCCATCAGTTATAACGTTAACTGTTTTCTGCACGTCATGTCAAAATGACGCGTTTGCGAAAACACTGCTGTATTCTGAAGTGCCTTCATATTTACACATGGAATGCGAGTAGAAAATCATTTGAACAACACAAACGAGAAGAGCAATCGACGGACAACCTGGCATATTTAAAGAAACTGCGATATGCAGACACACGATGCATCCCAATCAAGATGAATGCTTTTTTCTTCGCATGCTTTTGGTAAATTGCCCGGTTCAATGTCTTTCCAGCAATTGCGAACTGTGAAAGGCGTTACACATGCCACTTTCCGCGTGCATGTCAAGCTCTGAATTTATTGAAGAACGATCGACTAGGATGCATGCATTAATGACGTGTGTAACACGTCGCATCTAAATCAAATTCGTGCATTGTTTGCGATCATATTGACCGCCTGCTCTCCTTCATCTCCTACAGAATTATGGGAGAAATACAAATCGCACGTGGCCGAAGAATTCAAACATGAACATGGATTTCATAGCACAAATCTGCAACGAAGCTTGTTAATGATTGGAGGTTTGCGCTTAGAAATCGCGAACAAAGTTCTCAATCAGTTGGAGGTAAAACGTTTCTAGTTAGATTGGTTCTGGTAGCAATTCGATCCGAAAACGACATAGCCTATTTCTTGCGTCATCCGGAGTAGCTGCGACATTGCTATCAGGTAGAAGAACTTTTCATTCCGCTTTGAAATTGCCTGTGAACATGCAGTTCACTGAAACTACCACGTGCAACATTCCTAAAGCATCCGGCATGGGAAAAGCATTGCAGAATCAACTGGCTAAAGCTTTGTGAAATATTAACCACCCAAAGCTTTGCAACGGTACAGGGCTTGCAGTGGAAAAAATTAATGAGTAACGTCGTAGAAGCAACAATCTTGACCGAACCTTTCTCGCATCCCTATGATTCCAACGGATATGTCTACTGGGAAAGCTAATCTGTTGAATTCGTTTTTCAGCGAGATAGATTTATTCGGGATGTAATATTGTTCTTGCACAATATTACTAGTTAACAACAAAAAGGGTGTAAAATATGTATATTACGCGTGGATTGGTAAACAGTGGTAAATGAGTTATACGGTGAGCAAGCAATATAGTCAACTTACAAATTCCTTGTCGTTACCTTTGATAGTAATTTGACTGTCGGTTAGTTAATAGGTCGTCGAATTAGGGATATGTTACGGAAAATGTATTTAGCGAATAGAAAGAATATCGTTGTTATGCAATGGTTGCGGATATGCTATAATGTCGTTGTCTGTGGTTCAGTCGTGGAGGATAAGCGAAGAGGATCTATCGTCTGCTCGGTTGTAAAAACTGGACGCTTTTGGATTTTTCCATACATATGTATAAGGATTAGAGAGTTTTGTAAGCTCCATCGAGGTTATCATGGAGGTATGGCTGCCCTTTAGCATTATCCATTGTGTATGTACAATGATATCATTGTCCATGGTGTAGATACTGAGACGTTTTTGTGTTATGCTGTCTATTGTTAGCTCATATCCTCTTCATTGCTTTAATTTTGCAAGATTTCGTCACCTCGTCCGTTGGATATTATAGAAATTTTATTTGAACACAACTTTAATTTCGGTAATCCGACAATACCATTTCAATTTAAGAGATAGCAATTTCCAATTCGATTAGCATTTGTAATTACCATCAACAAAGCTCAAGGCCAATCTTTAGAATTGCGCGGTTTAAATCTCTGCACACGGATTGCTTCTCACATGAATAAACAGTTATATGTTTCGTGTTTTAGAGTCGGCAAATTAGACGATTTCTATGTCTACACAAACAGTGGAACAATAAAAAAGCATTGTATACTCACAAGTGTTATGAAATTAAACATATTAGAAATGTGAGCTTTCTCTTCTTATTCTTGTCATCTTACCACACTGATTTAACAACTGTTTTCCATTTAACAAATTAATTGTTTTATTTGCTACTACCTGTTGCTGTGATAACGTGTGGCCGGGTACAGGTAGTATATAATACGTGTACGTGTGAGGACGTGTATTGGTGCAACTGTTGGTGCTAGATGGAGATAAAAATAAGTATAAACAATGACGTGCTTTAACGAGTGCTTTCGATTCAGAGTCAATTAGAACATTCCATTCAGCGCAACACTGACAAGACAGCTGCATCATCATCATGACTAGGCTTCGTGAACGAAGATTTAGGAAGGGCCCTACCCGCGCTTGCTGCAAACGTTACAAATGTGCGTGCATCCTTCCAGTTTGCGCAGTGGATTTAAAAGAAAGAAATCAGCAGCTGCACATTTGATAACGATTAGGCTGACTTGTGCCTTGAACTCGCTCAACGAGACTTATTCTGTTTGGTGACATCACAATGACTTTCGTTTCGTTTTTATTGTTCTGCATGTCATTCGCGTTTTTGAAATATGCCAAACTTGTCATATGTTTTCTTTTGTTTCGTGTATTTTATTTGCACTTGTTTATTAACATAGTAAGGCATTTAATGAATAAAATTTGGAACTAACATGGGCGATAATGCGCATTTTTGAATGGCATATAACCATTCCTTGCTTATTCGCATTTTTTGAAAATTTCCTTGCATTGCAAACTGTCAGAACAGTTTTATAGGGACTATTTTTGGGAACCTTGAAAAGTATCTCTGAAGAAGTTTTGTTACTTCGAAATTCAATCCAGTTATCAAAGGAGGTCGTACTGTTGCGTTCAGGCAGACCTTTGTCCCAAATATCAAACTTCCAATTACTACGTCTTTATAACACGAAGATGCTACAGTTAATTGGAAAATTTTTTTCAAACATTCCTTGATCTCGTTCTTCTTAGCTTCCATTGATATGAACTTATGCATGTATTCTTGATTAGAACTCCGATCTGTTTTTTTTTTCGGATTAATTTCATACTGGTAATGACCTATTTTGCTAATATCTTCAAATAACACATCAAAGCTGTATTTGCTACATGTTTTACTTTCAACATTCAACTTATTATTACTTTATACTGAAAGTTAAACGAATTTCATCTATCAATAAATTAATTCATGATGCTTACAGAGAAAGTTGAAAGTTGAGTTTATCACATAAATGGTGCCGTAATTTCGGTTGTAGTTTAGTGAGAAATATGGTCATTGTTTTGCTATTTTCATGCTGGTATTGTTAGGAGGTACCAGCGTCAAAGAACTTCTGACTGTTCCCGCATATCGAGGTTCTACTTAGTTTTGATCTACAATGTAGCACAACCAAGATTTTATACTTTCTTCTGGCTTGAAACGAATTTTTTTTTGTTAATTGTTACCTTAAAAATCAGTCAACGTTCGTTATCTGAATGTGATTTCCGGGAGTAATCGGCAATGAATAAAACAAGATTAGTGTGAGTAGCACGAATCGACATCAAAAATTAAGACTGGTTGGGGATACCATATGTAGAGGGCGAAACTTTGTTGTGAAGTTATGGGATGCTATAGTGTTTGCTTTTGATATGGTTGGTTAAATATAATTGGATTACAATGAGGCAATCAAATCAGGCAATAATTGCAGTTCACTCGTTTGATCAAAAGGTAGAAAAACAGGCACATTTGCAAAAAACATTTTTAGAACTTGTAGGAGGCGTTTCATTTGAAAATCATTTGGGATATATTTATTGTAGAAGTAGTCCATTCATATAATAACCCCAATATATCATGTTAAACGTTGCATATACCACTGAAAATTTCATTAAATCACATTGCAAATCATTGCATTGGCTTCTGTTGTGTGACAAAATTATTAGGATTAAACAGAAATTTGGAAATTCGAAAAATATATATTTATTTAATGTAAGGATTGCTCTGATCTCTTGATACGAATCGTTTCATATCCATTTCTGATTTGAGGAGTAAACTCGATTTAGAAGCGAGAATTGGGAGGTTTCTCATTTACAGTCCATTTTTTATTAACTTCAGATTCCCAATGAAAAAGCCGCTTGAAGTAAGTTTTTCTGAAGCTAGTCAAAAGAAGGCCCAAAGAGTTCAGGGTTAAGCTGGGTTAGCATGTACGATTCTATAATATGATACACTTACGAGGGAAACTCGTCCTTGAATATAAATCCAGTTTTTCACTATCCAGAATAGATGATTTTCTCTAAAAAAGTAGTCTAAAAAATATTCATTGATAAGGGTACTGATTTAAATCTTTTTTAAATGTCTATTTTTATGAAAACCACTGCTAAATGCTTATTTAATTAAAGGTGATATTGGTTAAAGCATTGAAGGTGATATTGGTTACCAGAAGATTTATGTTCATTTAAAGATTTCAAGTCTCAGGCAGTTTGATCATTGGATGTATGCATGCAGCATAACTGTTTGGTACTAGCATCATGCATCATGAAAGGGTCTTAGGAAGCTGCTGTCCAATTTCTCGAAGCAGTCTCATATTTCCGCCTTTCGTATCGTCTAGATGCTACTGATTTTGTTAATATAAAAAACAGGAAAATAACCTCTTTCTGCATATGATTCAGTTTAGTATCTGCTTGTCCTTCATGCCGACTCATAAAACCGACCATCGCAAGTTCGATTAACGACGCGAATATGAAAGTCATCCCACTGCAAATACAGTTTGTGAAGTGGAAAAAATTGAGGGAAATTTGGAGAACCAATTTTTGACAGGAGCATGCCAGACTTATGTGCAGTTCATTGCAAACAACTACCACATTTTGTGAACAGTTTAATTTGTTTCAGATCAATTGTCAATTTGTGCTCTCGGAAGTCGTTATTAATGGTCTATTATTTTAATATTCTTTCATTTGTCATCGATACCACATTTATTCCTAAAATGTGTGTGATTTATATTCCTTAACTCATGGATTTTTGTTATAAAGGACAAAAAAGATGTCGAAAAACTCAGCTGTATATTTCTCTATCTTATGCAAAGAAAGTTTGGATGACATTTGAAGTTTTGGTGCTAATGAAATAAAGGAAAATTGAGTCTGGTTAAGTTGACGATTTCTGATGGTTTGACTAGACAAATCTGCAAGCATATACCAATGAAGTTATATATGAATTTGTCATCCTTTTTTCTCGTTATAAGACAGGAGAATAAAATGATCAAAAGGGAATGGAGTTTAATTGATTTTTGTTGTTATTGTGCTTCTTTCCCATTATATCAGTGATATGGACCAGGTATTCTCATCATATCAGTATGGGAGATGCTTAGCTGAGTAAGTAACGAGATAAATAGATTGAGTCGTTTGAATTTAATTGAAGCATGAACGAATGTTCAAAAATTTACAGTTGTCTGTTCAGATAACCCAGGATGATGATGAGTACAAGTCTTTTGCTTTGCAGACGAGTTCGTTCACTTCCAGTAATGATACGGTCACACCATTTTTAAAAAATGATAGATGCAATCATTTGTCGCAAGTTGGGAAATAAGGTCGACGGATTGGTTGATGTACAAATTCCAAAAAAATTGAGGTAAAATACAAGAATAAAGCCGCCTCTTCTAATTAATTGGTAATAAAAGAGATTGTCAATTTCTCGAGAGCTGAATTTTCAAAAATATTTTGCAATTAACTGGTACATATAATTCAAAAAAATATGATTTAAAAGCTTACCTCAGGACCCATATGTCAATTGCCTGCAATAAAAGACATTACCCAGTTTCATGTGTGTTGGAAAGGATTTCAAAAGTTTTCGAACTTACATTTAAAAATTTTCAGGGGAAAAAAATCAATGCTCGGTGTTGTTTAAGCAAAAAAAAAAAGAAAATAGTTCTTTTTTTTTTAGGTAAAA